GCTCTGCATTCTATCGATGTCCCTTTGTAACCTAGAACAGCCCTCCGCACTGTCCACAACATGACCCACCTTCGTATCGTCCGTGAACTTGCTAATCCACCCTTCCATTCCTTCATCCAAATCGGAGTGGTCCCGTGACTCCCTTGTCCACTCCACACTCCCCTCCAGCCCCACCGCACCCGGCACTTTTCCCTGCAACCGCAGGAAGTGCTACACCTGCCCCCATACCTCCTCCCTCACCCCCATCCCAGGCCCCAAGAAGACTTTCCACATCAAGCAGATGTTCACCTGCACATCTGCTGATGTGGTATACTGCATCCGCTGTTCCCGTTGTGGCCTCCTCTACATCGGGGAAACCAAGCGGAGGCTTGGGGACCGCTCTGCAGAACACCTACGCTCGGTTCGCACTAAACAACTGCACCTCCCAATCGCGAACCATTTCAACTCCCCCTCCCATTCCTCAGGCGACATGTCCATCCTGGGCCTCCTGCAGTGCCACAACGATGCCACCCGAAGGTTGCAGGAACAGAAACTCATATTCCGCTTGGGAACCCTGCAGCCCAATGGTATCAATGTGGACTTCACAAGCTTCAAAATCTCCCCTCCTCCTACCGCATCCCAAAACCAGCCCAGCTTGTCCCCACCTCCCTAACCTGTCCTTCCTCCCACCTATCCCCTCCTCCCACCTCAAGCCCCACCCCTATCTACTACCTACTAACCTCATCCTGCCCCCTTGACCTGTCTGTCCTCCCTGGACTGACCTATCTCCTCCCTACCTCCCCACCTACAGTCACCTTTACTGGCTCCATCCCCGCCTCTTTGACCTGTCTGTCTCCTCTCCACCTATCTTCTCTTCTATCCATCTTCTATCTGCCTCCCCCTCTCTCCCTATTTATTTCAGAACCCCCTTCCCCTCCCCCATTTCTGAAGAAGGGTCTCCGCCCGAAACGTCAGCCTTCCTGTTCCTCTGATGCTGCTTGGCCTGCTCTGTTCATCCAGCTCTACACCTTGTTATCTCAATAACCTAATTTATCTTTACTGCTTTCTGCCTGTTCACCAATTCCTAATTCATGCTAGCACATTATTTCGATCCCACATTCTTTAATTGTGCTAGCCGACGTCCTTTTGGGGACCTTTTCAAAAGACTTCTAGAAATCCAAGTACACCACAGCTAATGATTCCCCTTTCTAACTTATTAGTCACGTTCTCAAAAAAATCTCTTAAAACACTTGTCAAAATGTGCTTTCCCATTCGTAAATCCATACTATGTTCAATCAACTTGGTTTATTTTATTTTATTTCATCTGTACAATGAACTTCTAATTTATTAATTAATTGAAGAGAATCACATTTTAACCATTTCTTCCATTTTCAGTAGTAGGATCCCTTGAAAAAAGGCCAAATCTGCGACTTCAATTGAACGTAACAGCAGAGATATTTTTTCCTACATATTTTAATGTCTTTTTTTTCCCAATGGAAATTTGCTGCAATACCTGTGAAAAATTACACAATACTGGTCAAGGTAAGTGTCAAATTATTTTTGCAGGGAAAATCCCTATGGTGTTAAAAAGACATCTACATTATAATACTGCACCAAATCATGACATTCAAACGCATCAAAATATCTTAAACTTACTTTTCAAAATGTTGCTGACTCCTCAGCAAGCTTTCCATTTTCTTACAAACTCTGAACTCCAGGGAGCACCATTTCCAAAACACCACTCCAACAGATAAAATGGTTTGTGCAAAGAAATCTCCAGTCAAAATGAGGAATCTGACCTCAATGGAGCAAGTCTGCATTTTCTTTTAATAATAGTCACTTCCAACCCTCAAAAGGCCAGGGGTGAAAAGGGCACGGGGTCAGTAATGTCAAGGTAAATCGAATTTCCTCCCAAAAAAAAAACTAAGCTTATCATTCGTGCAGCATTGTGCCTGTGCACCCAGATCAAAATTCAATCCTTCATCTCCCATGTTTTTAAATATTAAAATTGTCATTCATTTTAGGCTATGAAACTAACCTTGTCCCTCCCTTCACCTTTCCTGGAAATCTCCTTTAAACACAGGAACTGTTAAGTGGCTGTGAAATCTATAAAAGAGCAGCCTTTCACAGTGAAGTACTCAGCAACTTGTCTTCAAGGATACTGGATAGTTTTTTTCTTGCTGCCAGAACTTTGTTCTATCTCTTTGGACATATATCACTTAGGCATTAAGCTGAAATACTTTAATGTATTCAGAAAACATTAAGTTAAGTTATGTTAACCCTTGTCCACTCCACCCAGTTCTATTCATCCGAGAGATGATATCTTTCAGCTTTATACCCAAGTCCTGATTTGCCTTTATCAGCCTGGCATTTAAATACTTCCAGTCAAAGTCTGACCCAAAAAAAATTATAGTTGTGTTTTTCCCCCCAGTCATCTTGCACACTATACATACTTGGTAGCAAGGGAATTCAATAACTGAGTTTCAAATGTGTATATATGAAAAATAAAAGGATTACATCTCTAGCTTCACTGCAAAAATGGTTTCCATGTATCAATATATCTAGGAGTGTGAACACAACTTGATAAGGTCATTTATAACAAATTCTTGCACTTTTTAACAACTGAGAATACATTACAATGTATGTTAACCACACCACAATAGTCATAAGGGAAATTCAAGAGTTTATTTTTAAGGCACTGTCAAAGAAAGTGTCGCACTAACAATATACCAAAGTATGCTGAGTGGAGACGAATAGATTCATAATGTCATATATTCACACTGACAAAAAAAAAGAAAAATTTAAATTCCAAGAGGTGAGTACCAAAATGTGGAAATTTGTCACATAAACAGGGAAAATATACCAATTCAATGCAAATAAATCACTGTCACAATTTATATCTAGTACCGTTCATTTGTTAATGTCTTCATTAAAAGACCTGTCAAAACACAGCAGAATTTACTGTTGAGATTGGTCATCAATCCTTTAATAGTACATGATTTGCTGAAATGTTTGTTGAGGAAATGTCATTTTTTTCAAATAACTTGTGTCTCTTTTTCAGCTAATATCAAGCACCATCAAATATTGTTTAATGAGAATACAATACAATTCTCTGTATCTGGAATCTACTGTAAGGTTACTATTTTCAACTGCAGAAGCAATGGCTGATGTGTTGCATTAGGATTACCGAAGTCCAATAGAAAACACAGAAAAAATGAATCCAAGCTTACTGTGTACCTACAATATGGATAAAAGGAAACTAAATCCTATATGATTATAATGTTGACTAAATGGAAAATGAAAACTAGAACAAAAGCAAACAAATGCAATGAAATGAGACAGAAGAAATCTGTACTACAGCCAAACTGTTACAGCACATCTGAATGAATATCCAATGTGCTACTGTGCAATACTAATCCCAAGGGAGCTCAAGAGATGCTTCCCTGTGCTCAAAGTATGTTGACTTAAGCAATGCCCTCTGGCTAAGAAAGGCAATCCAATATGTGTTGATATCTGAAATTACTGCAGTTGATAGACCATCAATATAACTGACATACATCAAGGCTTTTGCCATTTTCATTGCTACTGCCTATCATTTGCAGTTATTACACCGATTTGTACTATATCAACATTATTTCCTTCCTCATGGTATTTAACACTGTTTTAAAGTTACTTTCTTTTTATATGATAAGCTTTGACTGTGCCTATCAAACGAAAGCATTGTGACAAATATAGGCCTGTTTTGAAATGATACAAAACTTTCCTGGATTGTTTTCAGTTGTAAGTGAAAGCTGGGGAATTCTGTTTAGCCCTGGAATGCTTACACATAAAACAGATGGGGTGTTGATAAATGACCAAGAAATTCTCAGTCCCAAAACTCCCAGACCTGCTTTGACCACTCAAGACTTGTCCATTTTACAAACCAAAAGTTAAGTCCTTTTAACAACTATGAACTGTTTCAATGCAAATTCCAAGAGAACTGCTTAGTGCACAGCACTGACGCCTCACAGCAGCAAGATCTTTCTGCAACCTACATCACTGCTAAACACAAAACGACGGCCCAAAACATGTCAAAAGAGAAAAAAAAATGCAGGCAACAAAACTCGAGAAAATAGTAACGCCATACACGGAGAAACATTGTCGCCAATTTTCCAATTCTTCTTGATCCACGGGATCATGGAGATAAATAACATTTACATAAATTACCAACATTCTAAAAGCAAACTTTAAAAATGTCGCTCTTGACTGGATTATTGTCTGATCATATCTGTATTAAGCTTTTGAACTGGCACTAATTTCTACACGATTGAAAGCTGCAACATTTAAAACTTTAAAAAGCGAAGAGATATTCTTCGTCTGATACAATTCAGTAATTAAACGAAAATGCCATATTTATATTCAATATTTTAAAACACGAGACCCGAAGATCGAATGGAACAGAACGACTCAGGGAAAAAAAAAAGAGCTTGTTTAAAATGAAAGCGCAACCCAAGGAAATTGTAAAGAAAAAAGCCAACACAAATAATTTGTCTCCAATGCCACATTCCCCTGTTTTGACTTCACTTTAATATTTTGCGCGTTGTGTCCAAATGGCCCTGATTAAAACCGATTTTTTTTATTACCAGGATGTCTATCTTTCAAACTACAACACCAAGCAGATAGAAATTGAGAAATACTTCAATTACCCGAGAAAACACAGCATGCACGTGTTTCATTGAGAATAACACGATTTCGAACATTGAATGATTTGCAGTGGAGACATTGCGATTTAAGCTGCTTGGTGGATCTCAAACCAGTTACAATTACCCAAATACTTGTTTCTTTTTAAATCATGATTCTTCCTCTTAGCCCCTTCACCACACAAAAAAAACAGCAGAATAATCAGAGTCTGGTTAACTTGAATAAAAGTGACAAAAGACAGATGGCCTCATATTTTCTTCAAAACAAATCAATTATTACATCCAAACAATTTAAATACAATCAACATATTCATCATTTTACGTCGTTTAAAGATCTCTTACCTAACTGACAGGAGACATCGCGAAGGGATAACAGCAGAGTCCAGAAAATGCAACACCCCGTGAGTGCTTTCACTGCCATCACCAATAAAAACCGATTTTCTTTACTGCGGGACGAGGAACCAGTCAAAGTTTTTTTCTTTCCCCTTCTTCGGAAGGGGATAATTTCTCTTCTCGATTTCAGGGAGGGGTTGGATAGTTAAAGGGCGCTGAGAGATGAGACTGACATGAATGAGTGCCTGTTGCAGAGTTTGCAGCTAGCTCTGACAGCGCTGCAGTGGCGCGAGTACTCACAGCTGGAGGCGGAGGCGGAGCGGTCACTTGGCCAAGCGCCGCCGCCGCTGCTCCCGCTCCCTTTCCCCAGTCCGGGACGATGTGCGCAGCCGAGGAAGCTCGCGACATGCGCGCGCACGTGCACGCGGCTCAAATGGGAGCCAGGCGCGCGCCCCCTGAACAGGTGAGCGCGCCACCGAGCTCAGATTCCACTCCCACCCCCTCACCCCATACAAAGGATGCCGTGGGTGAGAACTTTCATCTTCTGTGTTGCTTCCTGAGAGCTGGGCTTTTCTACATCTGGTCAAGAACTAGATTCTTTAAAAAAAGTGCACTGGATTTCCTGCTTTTCAGATTCAGTGGTGCTAACCAACTTGAGTGGTCTATAGATTTTTCCTTCACTGTCTCTGTGGTCGCCGTTTGGGTTATAATCAGGTTCAAGTTGACAATAAAAACGTTTTCATTTTCTGCAAAAGTACCGTCTGACAATAAAGAGCATAGCGCCACAGTTTGGACATCAAAAACAGGAACTGATTGGATATTCTAGCTGAAAGGTAGTATGGTTAAGTCCAGCCCCGCTAAGTGTTACTTTGTCCTTACGAGCCAGAAGCAAATACTTTCAAATTGTCTTTATTATGTACCACGCGGTGTGACCGGGGTCAGTTTCAGTGAAACGCAAACGTTTTGGTTCACAAAATGTGACCTGTTTGGATGTATCTCGTTCAGGGAAAAAAAAATAAAACCTATTCACTGCAAATCTGTTATCTAGCTGGGTGCGAGGATCTCATGGGGTCCGCACTCTATGTCGAGTTCATCAATTTTCTCTTCGCTTTCTGTCCTGTCTTTGTCTACATTCTCAATCCTGTCTTCATCCACACACTCAGACGGTTTTCCTCAGTTTCCATCCTAATTCGCATCAGGTTTATTCAGTCTTGTGAAATCCAAAGCTATGTCCTTAGTCGTACACTCTCGTTGATTTAGCTTCCAAAAACCCAGTTTCACTTATCGACGCCATACTGTCATCATGAGACTCATTAATTTCTGCTGCCAATTACTACACAAATTACTACCCGTCTCTAACTTTCTGAGTTTTCATTAGTTATTGAAATCTATTTCCTGCGTACACTGTGGTCTGGGGTTTCACACTAATTCCTGATCTATTTGATCAAAATCCCCATTGTCCCACAGCACCAAGTTTGCTGAAAATCATAAAGGAAGCCGTCATGTGGCTACAATCTTGACTCACTGTCCTTGTTATGGTTTAAAATGTACAAAAGAATGGCCAGGTAATTACGTCAGTTAAACTAACCTCCATGGTGGAGAAATTAGTTTCACTTTGATGGCTTTTTTTAGATTGGTTTCCACAGTGCAGTCTGGTGAGCACATCACCAACACATCTCCACAATTGGTCAAGCAAGAAGTGTCCAAGGATGCAGGGCCCTTCCTTTTCCTTATTTATATTGTTACCTTTTGCCAACATAATCTGATTTGATTTCATTTGTTGTCGCATGTACCGAGATATAGTGAAAAGTATTGTATTGCATGCTAACCAGACCAATCATACCTTAGATAAGTACATCAGGGTAATAGAACAGAATGCAGAATATAATGTGACAGCTACAGAGAAGGTGCAGAGAAAATCAACTCTAAAATATGAGACATTTGTTCATAAGGCTGAAACAGCAAGGAAGAAGCTGTTCTTAAATCTGTTAGTATGTGTTTTCAAACTTTGATAACTTCTGCCTGATCGAAGAGGGTGAAAGTGAGGATAACCAGGGAGGGAGAGGTCTTTGATTTTGTTGGCTGCTCTTGACCACCTCCACCTCGGCACCATTGATACAGACAGGGGTGTGTCCTCCATTGCACTTCCTGAATTTGCTGACCAGCTGTTTCATTTTGCCGACATTGAGGGAGAGATTGTTGTATTTACATCATGCCACCAAGTTGTCTATATCCTTCCTGTACTCTCACATCATTGTTTGTGTTCTGACCCACTATGGTGTCATCACCAAATTTGTAAATGGAATTAGAGCAGAATTTGGCCATATCGTCATGAGTGTATAAGGAGCATAGTAAGGGGCTGAGAGTGCATTTTTGCAGGGCACCACAGTGTTGAGGACTATTGTGGAGGAGGTGTTGTCACCTATGCTTACTGATTGCAGTCTGCAGGTCAGGAAATCAAGGATCCCATTGTCGGGGGGTGCGAGTGGATGGGTGCAGTACTAGTGGACAAGTGTATCACATTCCACATTGATAATGACTCACCCAGCTCTCCTCCTCCATTATCTTCCTTGGGCTTCCGCTGCCCCTGTGCAATCAGGCTAGTTGTCTGACATCCAATCTTGGACAAGGCACAATTTCTATCATTTAAACATTATGAAGAATGAAGGCTATTGGCAGAATTTTGCTTGGTTGGTCTGGGAAACAGTGAAAAAAGTTGGGAAAATATTGTGAAATTGGGAATCTGATTTATTTCAATGTGTTGAGAAAAAATTACAAGTTTCCCCTAAGTGTTTAAACAGTGAGTGACACCTATCTTATTTCCATGTATTTGCATATGATTACTAGCTGAACTTGCCTCATTTTCTATGCAGCTCACAATTCTCCTGAGTTTTCCTGAGAAGCTCAATGCTGTTAATTCCCAACATGTCAGTTAGAATGGTTAACTTGCAGCAGTAGCTTAGTTCCCTGGGCCTTCAGACAACTTTACCTTCATCACAATTTATCTGCATGCTCCGTAGTTACTGTCCTGTTTCACGCAAGAGGTCATTGCAAAACCACCAGCCTCACTACTTCACTGTGGCTGATTTCAGACTAACTCACACAGCACTTCAGCCCTCCACAACTTCACTTTAGAGCTCAGGGACGCTTATGACTTGCATGCCTCTGCCAGCAGGCATTGTGCACTGGGATATGCATGCATCTCATGCATCTTATGGTTCTTAGCTTCTTTTCTCAGCAAAGGACAAAGCGAAAAAGAACAAAGAAAATTACAGCACAGGAACAGGCCCTTCAGCCCTCCAAGCCTGCACCGACATTCTGCCAGTCACAACTAAAATCCGCTACCCTTCTGGGGACCGTACCCCTCTATTCCCATCCTATTCATGTATTTGTCAAGACGCCCTTTAAAAGTCACTATAGTATCTGCTTCCACTACCTCCCCCGGCAGCGAGTTCCAGGCACCCACCACCCTCTGTGTAAAAAAAACTTGCCTCGTACATCACCTTCAGACCTTGCCCCTCATTCACTTTGCATTTTTTTGGAGGCTGCCAACCTCTGACATTTGTATTGCTATCAACCTCTATCGCTTTAATTGCTTGTTAGTGCAGAGAGACAGGCAGCTTGTTAAGTTTCAAAGCATTCAACAATCATGGGGGTGGACATGTTGTTGTGTGGCACCCTTCCACATTAATGTTACAGATTACACAGTAATGCATTGCACGTGCTTCAAGCAAAATAACCATGTCTGAAAGTCAAAGGGAACCAGTCTTTAGTGAGGCCAAGGAGGACTACAGTCAGTCAAAGAGTATCTCTGCAGTCAGTCAAGGTGTTCATCTGATTTCTGTACAGGGAATTGTCAGTCAGCCACTTTGTCAAACCAGACTCCAAGGATCTGCACCTTGTTGTCTCGGATTCTCCAGCATCTGCAGTTCCTACTATCTCCAAAGATCTGTGTTTTTGCACTTCAGGAATTGGGCCACAATTAGTCCTGCAGGTCAAGTGCATGCAGTCTGGGGATTATAGATAGTTCAGTTGAGGTGCGATGGAGACACCAGTATGGGACTTGGGATTTTTCTATCAGGACTATCCTGCCAAATCAGCCCTGCTGGTTGTCCGTGGTCGTCTTGGGGTTGTGGACATGAACGGTCAGAAAACCTTTCAGGGGTCATTCTAAGGAACCCTGAGAAAAGACCAAAGCTCAAGTCTGGGGTTCGGATTAATTGGACTGTGTTACTGAGAAAATGATTATAGTCAAAAGGCGCAATTCATGATAGAAGGATGAGATCTCATAAAGGATAAGAGGAGATCGGAAACTGCTCATGGATGCGTTATCACATGATAATCACTTTGACCTCTCTATGCGCAGGGTGTATAGCCAACAAGGGCATAACAAATTGCAAAGCCATGAACTCAGAAGGTAAAGTAGGGTTATTAATGGTCAGAAAAATGGGATGAATGGAAATAGAAAGAGGCTGAAAGGTAATCGGGACAACAGGGTCAGTGACACAAAAGGAAACATAAAGTATAGGTGATTATTATTTATCTCAGATGGAGCCTGCAATTCACTGACAAAAACATAAAGCTAAAATGTTGCTACCTTCAATCTGAAGTCAAATGCATACTAACAAGACAAAATGGCTGCTACCGCATGCACACTGGGCAGAGTTGGTGACTGTTTTTCCCTTTGGGTGGGAAGTACAATTCTTTGTCTTTGAGGCCCCAGGAGCAAACTCATTAATCATGCATCCACCAACTCAGTAGTATTGCCCATCTGCATCAAGTTGAAATTCATTGTCAGCTCATACTTCTGCAAGAATGAACATTAGAAGTTATGGTTTCAAACAATCATGATCAATACACACTTCGTGGTAAATGCTTTTTAATCATATCGAATGAGTAGTTCTATTTATTCAAGAACTTAAACGACTTACCTTTGCCATTTCAGAATCACTGTTCGTACCTCAAAATGAAGCACAAGATTTTGGAGCTGCCACATTCGCACAGTAAGTCTGAACAGTAAGTATACAAGGACATGGTCTGTGATAGTCAAGGGTGGCTTTAATTAGGAAAAGGGTTAGTATATGGTGGTGCTTTAACAAAGTTTGCTTTCTCCAACATAGCATTAGCACTTTGATTTTGATACATTATTCTGAATGAAGTTATATACCCCAGAGCTCCTATTGAGCATTGCATTGTGAAGATTTCATACCACACTGTATCAGGGCATCACACGACATTTCTTTGTGATTGATGTGAAGGTTTAGGAATAGTTATTGAAATGCTGTTTTTTTTCCATGATTTCCCACAGATTATCAGCTCATGCGTCTGAAATGGATATCACTGCAGTTAGATTCC